ATGTCTAAAAGGTTATCGACAAACCATTGGTAGCTCTTTGATGCCTAATTTTTGAGAAATCATAGCACGCACATACATATTACTTAGTGATAACGCCAGTGCACATCGATAACGATCTTCTGCTGGCACAATATATCTAATCTGAAAATAAAATTATTCCATTCAAACATTATCCAAAAGAGAAAAATACGAACAGGAAACATGAAGATCGAAATATCTCATCGGAATAATTGTCGAGATATTTCTAGAACGAAATAAATCTATACCTCATCGTGAATTGAAAGAGCAAACCGAGCCTCGATATGATAAATTTCACAAAGCCATTTCATGCATACAATAAGCAAGTGGAGAAAATCAACAGCACTTGACTGTACCACCTAAAACAAGAAATTTGTAAATGATTTGATTCATCCAAATTAGTAATTATAAATATACATATACCATCAAACGAAAAGATTACAAAATCCATTATATGGTCCCCTCAGAAAGTCAAGAACCTTAGAATTCAAACGGTTGCAGTTTTATAAATTAGATTTGAAGTCTTCTTTGTTTTCTCTTTTATTCTAAATCTTCCTCCTTTCCTCTCAAAATAACCTAAATAAAAATCAATTTTTTATATGGAGCAAACTACATTTGTTTGGGAAAATTTCAAGACAAACTGTATCAACCGATTACAGTAGTCACCGGGATACGATCAATAATGCTGTCATTGAAGCGATAGTACGCCAAATACGATTATTTAGGATCATTCAATGGAAGCTTCTCTATGCTAATCTTTAAGCTATTCCTTTTTAATCTGTAAAAAATAGTTGAGCTGTTATTAGGCGCAGCAATGATAATAATATCCAATAATTACCCAATTTATAATTGAACGTCGATATTTTTTCAAAAAGTATTCGTGATCTCTGACATCTTTCGGTAATGGAGTCAAGCAATAACCAAGCTCACAGTCTAATACCGGGGTACGCGGCTCAGGATTATTCAGTGTTAGTTCCAAATAATTGAAAGTATCAGATTCGCTATAATATTTGAAATGTTTTCTTGCCACTTTCTGGATGATTAATTTTTGTTTTATGGATAATTGCTAACATCAGTTTTCTTAAACTTTACTGCGATAATTTCGCAATCAATGCTAAATTTTTTTATAACGGAAATTTTGAAAGCGAGTTAAATTAAATGGATTTTTTCTTATTACTTACAATCCTCCAATATAAAGCTGATATTCACTGCACCCATCGTAAATTTGTTTAATTAACCAGTCTTTGTTGAAATCGATTTCATCCTGCCCTTTTTCACGTAGTTTATTCCAAACATTTTCATAAAGCCAGTCTTCAAAGTTTAGCGTCAGTTTCCTTTAAAAATTTTCAGCATTGATTTTGAAATTATTCAATTCGATTTTTTATTTTGAAAATAAATTGCAAACTTCTGCATTGACATCTCAAATTAATTAGTAGAAAGCCCCTAAACTAATTATAGTTACACAGATTTTATATACCCTTGCTGGATGCGATATTCTGGTAAGAAATAATTGCCATTTGCATAAACGTAGCACGCCTTCATTTTTGAAGTGCATATATTATCAATGTACCAACGAAAATAATCATTGTAATTTTCATTCAGTTTCAAAAAACTGAAAAAATAAAAATTTATTGATAATTTTAAAAATGAAAACTCTTTACAAAAAAATTTTTGTTCCATTCGGATTTTTATTGTTTTATTGATTTAGCTTATTTGAAATATTTTCTAGTTAGAGATAGTTTCAGCTTTGGAACAGTACATAAATCGGAAGCAAACAACAAATAATTATAAGTGATGCAGCAAATAATTATTTTCTTTCATATAATTAGAAAAAAAATGTGTAACTGATGCTACATCTCCATTAATATGTTATGTCACAGGATACTATTTCTTTTCAATAGATTAATTCCAAAAGAAAAGAGAAATAAAAGACTGAAGAAATTACTTGAATCGTTTCCCTTTTGTTGTAGCAAACAACTTGTTGCTTACGTTTAATGCTTTCTTGGCATTCATTCCCGATTGCATCAGAAATTCAGCTGCATGTACCACACCAGAACCATAAAGCCGTGCATAATTCAGTACCTTCAATAAATGTTCTTTCTATGAATTCAAGCAATATCCGGTAATGTAAACTGCACCAATTGATTAAAGCATCTTATATGAAATTACGTAAGTGGAATCTGATCAGCACTCAAGTATTTCGCTTACCTCGTGCTAAAACTAAATTTTAAATAAAATTGCTATCAATGTTTTGATCAGTACATAATCAAAAAAAGAAAAGAAAAGAAAGCAGAAATTCTACTTCTCAACTAGCAAACCTTTGCTTTATCTCTGCTGATGCCAACTTCCCTCGCAACAACACTATGCAAATCACTATGATCAGTCTTCTGGCCTGCCAAAAGCATATTACTGAAAGGAGTCGCACCAGCTGTACCTTTGCCCACACAACAATCACCTAACATTGTTGCTATCCATTGTTCCTGTGAGTCAACATCCGCACCAACAATATGCCAATCCTCAGGGCATTCTACCATTGACTTCAAGTTAGTACCAATCATTTGATCATCCTGTAGAATGAAAAACCAATAAAAAAGCTTAAAAATAAAATGAAGTTTAGAATTGTGTTTTATTTTTTAGAAATCAATAAATACTAAAGTTTCAAGAAACAATATTATCTTTTCTGTGAATCTGATTTGAATTCTTGAAATTTTCTGCATTAAAAAAATCAACTGATTCTATGATATTTTTTGCATTAAAAAAATGTAAGTATTATATCTGTGAATTTTTGATACCAACTAGTTCTAAGACACTAAATGATTAGACTTTACAAATCAGGCGCTTTTTGAACGAAGCCAATGAAAAAACTATTATAAAATATAACCATACCTTTGGATTAATAGCTGTCAACCAAAGTTTATGAACAGCTCGCCTTGTTACTGTGCCAGCTGGAATGATAGATGGTGCGATAGCACCTTCATCACCATTTTCATCCAACCAAATCACTACCTGCTCTTGAAATCGATCCCTGCATGAAGGTTTAATCAATTCTATCAATATAATTTATTTGAATAATTCTGGAAATGAGAAGCAAATTAAAAAAAAGAATAAATAGAAAAAACTATAACTTTTGAAAGAATCTTAAAATAGCGGCATCAAATATCCAAATAACTATTCGTCAAGTTACTGATAATAGAATTTAAGCAATGTAATGTAAACTTGATACGATTCTGGATTGAAAAAAATCAAATTTAAACTAATCTTTATTAAAGAACCTGTAATTATTCCAAAACCGAGTCGTATTTCTTGCTCGATATAAATCTGAAAATTCTTTTTTGTAACGCATAGGCCATAAAACACCTTCTTCAATTTCCAGATGGAAAGCTTTTGAAATTGGATCACCGACATTATCATGTTCACCATTCTAAAATACCAAAATTATAGTTCTACTCTTGAAATAGCATTACAGAAGTAGGTTTTATCTTAATGAGCAGGTAGCTATAGATAGAAACAATAAAGAAAATAGCCATCTAAACAATAAGTTATACAATAATAGCAGATAATATCATGTTGCTTGAATAAAAATACAGATAGAGATACAAGATAAGTTCAATAAATCCAAAAAAAAAACTGTTTCTTGACACGAAGTAATACTTTTAAAGTTGAATGGAAGGCAAAAGTTTTTTTGCTGAAAAAGAAATTCTGCCTTTTATTTAGTACTAATTCTTTACAAAGTATTGTATAAGAAAATATTCTAAAAAACTAAAACTTACGGGATGCGGCAATTTGTGAAAATCAAAGATGCTAATTAATGAATGAGAATCTGGCAGCACAACATTTCCCACACCTTCAGCTATATTTTGCTGTATTACGTTAAGAATTGCCCTGAAAAAATGAAATTTCGGATGAAAAATGTTCCATATAATAAATAGTCAACTGAAGTGATGTCACAGTAGGATCATTAAAAATAAAATAAAATTTACCTCACAGGAATTGTGGCTTTCACACCTCGTCTTAAGACAACTTCCTCCGTTTCTGCCACATCCGATAAGGCAATACCAGAATCTGTAAAAAGATTACAGTAAGAAAGTATGAGAAAAACAAAGTTTAACGAATTTTCATACCCATACAAGTGTATATATGTAATTATAAAAAAAAACTACCTTTTGGGACCAGAAATCCCCAACCCTTATCAGTCTTGTAGTGCAATGGATATGGTCCCCAGCAAAGTCCAAATAATCGTGGTACAACACGGCTTTTCAATTTCACATCCGCCTGCGATAATTCTTCAATTGGTGTGTAAACAAGATTCCTATTACGCAGTAACGATTCATACCACCTAAAAAAGAAAAGCTAATATATCGAATTAGATACATGACACAGTTTGTTTTAACATCTTAAACTAATATTATGATATTCAATTTAACTAAAACAACCACTGAAGGTAATTGGAATTAGATTTTAAAATTGTAAAATTAATGCTTACACGGGAAAGTTCGCTCCTTTGCGACTGCTCCAATCTACCGACCACATCCATGGGTCATGTTCGTATCTAAAACCATATCGCAAGTTAGATTTTTAAAATAAGTGGTCAAGAATTCCACTGAGAATTCATATCTTTCCACACAGTTTCTAATATTTCTTAAAATCTGCCTCAAATAGTAAAGTTTTAAATATTTTACGACTGAATCGGCTTTTCCAATTTTTCTATCAGTTTTCTCGCCGCATATACTACCCCGATTGCAGCGGTCTTGTTTTCATTATTTGCGCGTGTTTCATTGTTGTCAAAAAATTTCCTCCAATTCTTCGTAACAGGCAGATAAACATTACCGATTTCAAGCATCCCTTGCCATGTTACCGGATGTGGAAATCTGAAAATTAGCGTCTATCATATCATCACTCAGATAAAGGAGCGGTTTAAAAAAAGCACATTAGAAAAATGGAATAAAAAAATAATTTTAAATATAGAACCTTTTTTTGAATTCAGGATATAAAACCTGGTACAGTTCGAAACAAGCTATAACATCGTAAGCACAGTATGTAGTAAGATCCTGAAAAAGACCGAAAATTACGAATAGCGAAGAAAATTAGCGCCTATCATATTCATATTGATAAAAAATTTAAATTATACAAGGAATACATCCAATTGAATACAAACAGCAATCTCAACCAACTGCTGAATTCATAGTTATGATTCTTTCCGATCTATTTATATAAATCATTAAACACACATAATTGTATGATCAATCAGATAACTACAAGATGGGTGGAAAATTATGAAAAACCTAATAATATCTAAGTGTTTGCTATTAATAGAGTTCATTAACCTGAAATGACCGACGTATTTCTTCGATGGGTTCTTTCACGAAAAATGTTTGAAGTGATTTGTTCAACGGTTTCAACGAAGTGCTGCCACACAATTTTTCATGTAATGCACTTAATGAATTTTTGCATACAAGCGATCGCCAATAATCAACCCAACCGATTGGCTAAATTCGAATAATATATTTTAGATTTCAAAATGTTATGATCGATATTGAGGAGGTGCTAAACTTTACTTATGTGAAATATTTGAAAAATGAAAAAAAAAAGGATTGGTAAATGAGAGTTACACGAAAAATTATAACGATAGAAGCAAAATGTTGAGAGACTAATTCCAACAGTCTAAAGGCTTTTCTGCTTCATCATTCATCAGTTGTGTTCATACATTTGATACATTTTACTGATCATAAATTTGGTGGGAAATGAAATGTGAATACATCTGTTCGGAAAATTGTATATGAAATATTTGAGAATTAAGGGACGATATAATGCGAGCATGTGATGTAAAATTTCATG